TTTTGATAGACCCCAAATGTGATACATTGATGAAATCAGCTCTTTAGGCAGAATCTGAAAATGCGATGAAATACAGGGTATTCCACATGAAATATCAATGTTGCTCTTACTTTCTAGTAGAAGCAGAACACTGCATTGTCGAAAATATTTTACATGAAGAGAGCGTATTCTGGAATAAAAGCATGCACATTTTCATGGATTTCCCCCGACTGATTCTCGATATAAAGATAGTGTGAGCTCGTCGTGACATACCCTGTATATATTATATTGAATCTGAAACACCCTGTATAGGAAAAAGGAATTTTTCCATGGGAAAATTTCGAATCGTCTTATTTTCTACTGGTTTGCTCGTTTCGAATTATTATCTTGAAAGTATTCAACGAACAGACATTTCTTATTTTGAAAACATATAAGGTAATTATTAAGTTGAATATAAACAGGGAAATAATAATATGAGGAAAAACAGAATCTCTATTCACTCACCAACGTGAAAAATACGAAGCTTTGATGAAACAACACGAAACACCAGAACAGCACACGATCGCGATAATGTAATCACTGAATTGAATGAGGTATACAAAAACACTACACTTGCACTCATTTTCAAGCGAACACTCCGTTTGGAACGATAAATAATTCCTTTCGCGTATTTTTCAATTCCGATCACAAAATTCGACTGTACGTGATGACATCTAATATCAGACTGTCTTGATTCACCACCTGGTCTCGAATGAATGACTAATAGGTTGAATCATGCTGATAATGCGAACAAATGATTTATCTATGACTGATGACGATAATGAAATCATACAGGGGGAACAGATATATAGTATACAAGATATAAGATGAAGAATTGAACACGGATATTGGCACTATTATTTTCGAAATTCTAACGATTTGAAAAAATTAAACACAGGCTGAAAATATAATTTTTACAAAAATGTCTTGTGATTCGAAAGAATTTAACAGTCAGAAGTACTAAAAAAATCTAGCAAATTTCTCGAGGAATGTAAAATGCACAAGGACATACAGGGTGTTTCAGATTTAAATGTACATTTTGGTTTAGGCTGCCAGGCTTCTCAACGAAGTTATTAGAAATAAGGTTGTGCTGAGTTACTACGTCTAACAGAGAATTTTGCGAAGAATCCAGTGGCGTACTCAATTTTTTCAGGGGTTATGATTTTGGGGATATATGTATTTTATTATTTAGTTGAACCCGTTATTTGTTTCCACTCAAAATGACGAATACAACTTGTACATGGGATTTCCAGGAATCAATTTTCAGCAATGCATTGTTGCCGCTTCTATCATAAAGAAGCAACAACTTTGTTATTCCTAATAGAATACCCTGTTTTTTATTGCATTCTTAGATTCTTCCTGAAGAGCTGATTTCATCGATGCATCACACTTGGAGTCTATCGGAAATGATTACAGAAATATAGGGTGTTGAAAATCGAGATTTTTTAACTTTTGGATTTGTTTATGTCGAAACTATTCATTATCGGCCTAAATGGCTCACATGGCCCTAATAGTTTTTAGTATACAGATTAGCACAACGCTTTTGGTCAGTTTTTGTGCTGAGAATGTCCATTGCCATTGCAAATATATCAGCTTCTTTCTAATTTACCGATAGTTGAAATAGTTGGGTCATTTTGATATCCTATACAGAATGTCACAGGTTTGATGAAAGGCTTCTTTGTAGCTGTAATACTATCCGTAAGACAGTATTATGTAAATCACACACACGATGTAATGATGATTCAACAATGATTTAAGATATTTTCTGTGATAACTTCGAGAATTTACACAATTAGCACGATTGAATAGCAAGAATAAAATGTATGCAAAACACACAAAATATGTGAACAAAGTGCCCTGATAACGCCGCCATCTTGTTTTTGATACAGCGCCCTCAACGGTCGATCACCTTGCCAATTGTTCTTCACCTCACGAGCGCAATCACCCATAAAACGTTATCTGCAATATTTCGCACCACGCTGTATATTCCCAGCGAGCACAAACATCCCTGGGATGTTTTGAAAATGTTGGCATGAAGATGTTATTTTCAGACGTAATATGCACTGACCAAAGAGATCTTTGAAGGATATTGAAGTATTGTTTTTGTTCCTCTGTGGCATTTCTTTGTTTGCCTACTGAGAGGTATCCCTGGGATGTTTTGGGATGTTTTAGAAATGTAGGCATGAGGATGTTTTTTTGAGGAGTAATATGCACTTCCCAAAGAGGTCTTAGAAGGATATTGAAAGTATTGTTTTTGTTCTTTTGTGCCCTTTCTTTGTTCGCAATTGGCATTCGCGTTTGCAGCGTGTCACGCTTACATCACGCTGCTAACGAACAGAAAGGAATTTGGTGAAGTTTATTGTGTTAGAAGACTTATTTAGTTTGTAATAATGACCATCAGATGCAAGATGTGTTGTTCGGTGCCTCAGTGTAATCAATATATAAAAGTACGAATTCATCAATACACAGCTTCTCCGCAGTTGCAAAATTATGCATTGTGGAGAACATTTCAAAAATTGGAAAACCTATATCCAATGATATGTCTGTGTGTAGTAAGCACTACTCAGAAGCCGATTAAGTAGGTAATATCATATCAAGAAATTTTTTTATGTTCAATCGATTTTTGATGCATTTTTTCATTCAAGGAAAATGGAATCCTAATGCAAAAGTTCATTTTGACAAAAGGCTTCAGAAAAGTACCTCCGAAAATGGTTTTTTTTTACAGCGATTTAATGTGCGCAAGACGCGTTGAAAATGTTCTGTTGTGTCCATGAAAAGGCTTTAAAAAGAACTAGGTAGAAGGTAGTTTTGTGACATATCAAGGACATCTCGATAATTGCCGCCTGCGGCGGACATTGGCTGTTCTATAATAGTTCTATTCATGTGTGAACAGAACATCGCAGTGGAGGTTCAATGTCTCGAAATCTCGTACTTTTAACATCTCTGAGATGTTTTTGTGCTCGCTGGGTTTGAATTCAGGCTGACCAGCTCAGTCGATTCGAGAAAAAAAAAAGTTATTTCATTCGGAAGAAATATTTTTTGAGGTGCCCCGCCACTGCTGAAGCTGCAAAGGGGGCACTCAACAACAACGGTTTGCATACACTCAGAAGGAGATGCCGACTGCAATAAAGTTTTTTCAGCAAACATGAGCAAACCATAGCAAACGTATAACGTGTGGACGACTTTTTCCGGACGCAGCGGATAGATGCATTTAGGAAATGAAAAGCAGGATTTTCCACGTGGGTATATTGTGCAGAGTGTCGCGGTGTACAGTAGTATAGCTGTAGTTACTTGGTTTCCAGGATAGCATTAGACTTCGGGAGTGATACGAAAACCGGAAGTGGGTTGGATACTATCGCTCTATCGTTACAATGTACAGGCTCTAAGAGATACAGTTGCTCAATTTTGTGCCAAGAAAATGTCTCTTTTGAAAATTGTATAAAGTACCAAATATTTTCGGAGATATCCGAAACAATCCTTTTTGATTTTCAAGTTATTCGTAAGGGATTGATCGAATTGAATGACACTTTATCATGACCACTTTTTCCTTCCTACAAGCTGGCGTTTTCAAATTTGTAATCCGATGTTACGACTTTCAAGATCACAAACTTTTGACAGCCAATGAGCCATCTTCTATGAAACATGTTTCCATAACTCAGAAAAGGATAGTCAGATGCATTGCCAGTGCTTCTATAAGAACTTCCTGTCGAGGTTTATTCAGAGAATATGATATTTTCCTACGGCTATAACACAAGATTGCTCTTGTTATACGACGCTATACGTGCATCCATCGGAAAATGGAAAAACAAATAAAAATCAAAACATCAAAATTTGAAATCCGTTCAATTCAATATATATCGAAAACAAATGGAAAAATCGAAAATTATCAAAAGTGCAAAAATATCCACTGGGACATTTCCTACAAATTATTTCCTATATTTTTTTTTGTAAACCCAATAGTACAAGAAATAAAGTGAGAAATATGAAAAAAAAAAAATTAACGACCCATAGGGTACTATGAAGATATATTGAAAAAAATAGATCATCGATAGATGAAGCTCATCGACTTCCACTGAACCATGAAATATTTTTTCATTTTGTTAATTGGAAGATGGAACAAAAGAGTTGAAAATTTTATTCTCAGATAATTCCAAATATCTCGAAAACAACTGGAAATATCTGAAAATGTTATGGAACCAAAATTATTCCTTTTGATAAAATCTACAAAAAATCTTTCTAACATTTTTCTCTGAATTCAATAGTTCGGGAGATACGATGGAAAAACTAAAAAATTTACAAGTTCCTAGATAATATCACTTGCCAATAGAAAACGAAACAAGAAACAAAGAAAGTAAAAAAAGCACACTCGACTGTCTTGAGTTTTTTCCCCATAAACTACGTACCTAGCTCACTTTACTGTCTTTATTTTTGCCAATAAACTAGGTACGGGCTAAGTACGTAGTTTGTACGAAAATCTCCAGTTCTCTGAACTTTCATAGCGTCGTATACACATCATTGGTGCCCAATGATAGTTTCAATATAAAAATATGCTCATGATATGGTGCCATGGCCTCAACTTCCATCTTACATGAGCAATGATAAAATATCATCTGCATTTATAACGTCGTATAAATTATCTGACCTTTATACTAATCTGATACCTTTCAAAAACTACGTACCTCACTTGTTTTACTGTGTTCTATTGAGTTATTGGTGAAGTATTGCTAGTATTGGTTGCAATTTTACGTTAACAAAATAACTGTCACTGTCAGCGAATTCCAAACCAATGAAATTTCTATATACCTAATTGAATATTCTGTTAACTTATACTAGTAGGTACTAGTTTTCGAGTTTCGACTGGAAAATTAACCAAATTAACATTCTGTCAATTACTTCCTTATACAAGAACTAGATAGATTAGATAAACAGATGAAACTTCGATGAAGAAATGATTTTTTACCACTCATAATCAATCCTAAAAATTGTAAAAAATCAAACCATTTTTTAATTTCTTTAATACACATTTCACACGTATCCAAATCGACTCGCAACATTTTCAGAAAAAGAACATTTGCGTTCCTGTCGCCTTCGGCCCCATCTTTTTCTGAGCCTCGGCAGCCGATCTGAGCTCCGAGACCATGGCTTCGTACTGCTTGACCGCGGTGGTCAATCGCTTGATGTTTTTGATCGTCTTCAGATTGGCCTCTTCAGTTTTTCTCACTATGTCATCGTTGACAGTCAAGAACTGTTCCGTTTGCTCGCTGACGGCATTGATTTGGCCGGCGAGGAATTTACCTCGCAAGGCCTCTTCCTGAAAAAAAAAGGCAAGGTTGAGAAATACAAGGTGTTCTAGAACATATCATAAATGAGGACTTGAAAAAAATTGAGAAATGGCTTTATTCCAATCTTCTTTCTCCTTATTCTAATAAGACTCAATATATAATTTTTCGTCAAAGAAATAAACAAAATATTGATCTGAATATTAGAATAAAAAATGAACGTTTGGAACAAACTGCCCATACCAAATACCTTGGTATTTGGATTGATGAGAAGTTAACATGGGGAAAGCATATTGACATCCTTATAGGAAAAGTATCTCCCATTATTGGTGCTTTGAGAAGATGTCCTAAACTTAGTACATATACATCAAATATTATTTTCTATTCACATAGGTATATATACTCATTTGAATTAACTATCTCATAAATATTTGGGAATATTGTTCCAAAAATAGTTTCAACATAATTTCTGTCCTATATAAGAAGGCTTTGAAAGTACTGTGTCGTCTTCCATAAGTTACTCCAACAATCCAACTGTATAAAGAAAAAAACATATTTTCTTTGGAAGAGCACTATTTAATCAATGCTCTTAAAATTTCCTATTATATCATCAACAGAAAGCTTCAATCAAATTTTATATTAATTAGGAATTCCGAAATTCATGATCATCACACTAGACAATATAACTTGTTTTATCTTGAAGCTGCAAATTCTAAACTTGGACAATAAAATGAATTACCAGATGATATCATAAACAGCCCAAATATTATGCAATTCAAAAATAAAGTGAAGAAATATATTTATATGAAAGGAATGATCAAAGCTGAAAGACTATATGAATTAACTTTTTTTTTTCACCGTTTTTATTTTTCCCCTTTTTGTCCACTATAATATGACTGTTATTTTGAGATATCTTGATGATGTGAGTTTTGTTCACTATTTGTAATTTCAATTATAAAACAGTCGATAATACTACATGAATGACCTTAGATGAAAATAGTTATTTGTTTTATTAGGCAGGAAAGTAAAAGATTTAATGCCGCGGCTGGCGTTTCATAGCCTAGGCGAATCCGAGGCTAGGAATCCAGCCAAAGCATTATATATTATTTTCTGCCATGCGAAACATAATTTTTTCTCCAAATTCTTTTCAATTTCACGCAAAGTCCAAATAATCCATCATTTCTTGTTCACCCAAAGTCATTGTTTACCTATAGGTATATAATTATGTACTTCCTTATACCAGAGCCTATTCTGTCTGGAAGTTATTTGTTCAATAAATAAAATAAATAAATAAATAAATTGTCAATTTTGATTATACCAATTTGATTCAAATTACTTGGAACGTTGCATAGCAACAAACTTTTTTTGCCTAGGCAGTAAAAGTACACCTTTTTCTATGGAGTGTTATTGAAAATCCACGTTTAATGTCATTTGGAGAAAAACAATTTTATTTGCAGATTTTCTCAAATATTGAATCGATCAGAATATAACTATAAACATTCAAATCTGAATTTTGAAGTCAATAGTCAGACAAAAAGATATGTTAACTCTCATCAAAATTAAATCAGATTTGGGTGAATGATCTATTTTTCACAATGGAACAATTCTCTAAAATGAATTACCTGCCAGACTGAAGAAAAAATTAAATGTTGATTCTTACCTCAACCATTTTCTGCGTATCTAAGACAGTAGACTTCATCTTTTCGTACATCTTGGAATGCTCCGAGAGTTCGACTTCGTCCTGTTGCTTATTCTTCCTCTCAGCCTCCATTTTCTTGTTGTACTGCTCTCTGACTTCCTTCAACACTATCATCGCCTTTTCACAAGCTTGTTCCGCTTCCTGAAACAAAATTGCCAATAAATAGGCACTCGAGCAGAATGAGAATTGTTTATGAGCTGAGGGACAAACCTGTACTAGCGCCTATACAGACATGAGGAAAGAAATAATCATCGCCATACTCCAATTTTCAGGTACGTGCGTGGCGTAGTTGCTTGAGCATTTGAGTTCCACGTTGGCGACCCGGGTTCAATGCCTCCGGCGGACGGCTTTTTTTAATTCTGTTTTCTTAAGTGATTTTCCGAAAAATATACTTTTTAGGAAGAAGGTTCATTTAGGTCAAGTAAGGATAGTTCGTTTAAAAAAAGTAGTCTCCCTGCTTATGCAAAAGGGATATTCTCCTTCCTCCCTGATGAAAGTACTGTCTTGGAGGCATTTAATGTTGAGGCCGATAGTGATGTTTTTTCTCAGGAGGATCAGTACCCGCGGTCCCACGCTATGATTATTTCTTTCCTTCTGTCTGTAGACGTTAGTCAAACCTCGGCCTTCTTCTTTTTTCTCTCTCCTTCTTTCCGCAGTGCTTTCTTCATTTGCGTCGCAATGTTCTCGTGTCTTCTTTGCATCCTTATGGCAATAACTTCTTTGTGATCGGACAAGTATTCTAGGAACCTTTATTAGTAGCAAAAATGAAAGTAAGTTAGTTTTTTCTCCAGTGGTGACAATGTGAGAGCGTTACTTTTTGACTAGATACATGGGATACATCTTCAGCAGCCTGTCCATATGACCTTTGGCAGGAGCTCTGTCGATGGCTTGTTGCCACATGGCTGCTGGTAATTTGTATCTGTCCTCAGGCTGGGGCTCGGATACGTCGAAGAAGGATTTGCGCATCATTTTGTCCTCGATCTGGTCTAGAACCTCTTCACGTTTCGCCACCTGAAAATATCATCGTTTGTTTCTCAACTATCTATTGCTTAATCGATTTTTGACAAATGAAGACAGTTGTAAAAAACTTCACGAGATTCTTGAGAAGACGAAGGTGTGGTGACAAGCCGAGGATAAATTCCTCTCAACAAGATATGATTGAAAGTTTATATGAATATGGGTCCGAAAATGCTTCGTTTGTGTCGATTTAAATGACATTCTTATGGTTCATTCACACAGTAATTATCAGACATTTATACTGGACCAATAAGATTTGATCCAGAATTTCCATCGAGGAAGTCGGCTTCTTTTTGTAGAAAAAAAAGTCACCCTCTACTTTTCTTGTTATTTTCCTTAAATATTCAGATGAACCTACTGAAAATACAACATTTATGCCTTATTATTATTTATGGAAACAAAAAACACATAAAATTCAATACCCTCTCTAAAATGTAGATATATGATCTTTGAATTTTGTGAGGAATATTTATATTAATTGAAAACCCTCTTTTTAAAGTATGGCCACTCTTTATCTTGGAAACGAAGCATTTTCTGACCCATGTTCATATGAACTTTTTTCACCACAATTCTGAAAAACCCTGTATATATAAATGTCCCTCTCTTCAGCTCACTTATTTTTGAACCGATTTCGAAATTTTAAGAATCATCTGAAATGATTTTTGATACATTTTTTTGCTATATCAGAAAATACAGGGTGCTCGGAACAACCGATCTACAGGGTATTAGTTGATTTTTTCAAATGGCGCACCCTGTATTCAATAGCATCTTTATGTAGATTCTCCTTGAAGAGCTGATATCATTTATATATCTTACTTGGGGTCTAGCGGAAATGATTATAGAGATATAGTTTGTTCGAAATCTAGATTTTTCAACTTTAGGATCATTTTGTATCCAAACTATTCATTATTGGTCAAAACGACCCACATATCCCCATCTTCACTTTTGATTTACTAACTACTGACATTTAATCGCAACAATACAGGGTGGCTCAAGATTACGAATTATGATCAGTCTGTGTCTGCTTCAATTATGAAATGTTAGTAGATAGTAAATCGAAAGTTGACCAATTATGTAGATCCCAAGTGTGATGCATTGATGAAATCAGCTCTTCAGTGAGAATCTGAGAATGCGATGGAAAATACAGGGTGATTCATTTTAAAAAATCAACAAGTACCCTGTAGATCGTTTGTTTCGAGAACTATATTTCCTTATTCTCATTTCGAATGATTCTTCGAATTTTGGGAACGGTTAAAGAATAACTGAGCTAGAGGGGGAGACATTTATGGTGAATCAAATCAATCACAATCACAATCTTCATCTTCGTGAGTAATATTCATCATTATGCGCACGTTGAATAACATACTATTATACTCTTCTGAATATTTTACCTTGTCTCTTCGTGCTTTCACTCTATCGAATAACACCAGCAACAACTCGAGACGTCTGTCATTCTCCTCCATGGCTTCGTATTCCGCATAGCGACCTTTTTCCATCAGATCGTGCACTAATTGGGTCAGCAGACCTTCAACTGTTTCGTTTTGGCTTGTTTCCTTGCCTGCAACGATGAAAAGTCATTTCTGGATATGGTTGATCAAAGTGGCTAGTTGCATTTATACGAATCAACCTGATGTTTTATACACTCCCCGACAATAAATTCCGGACAGTGAAATTTTTAGCAAAATTATTCGTCCTGTAACTTTCGTAATCCTCTTCCGATTTCGATGAAATTTCGACCGAAGCGTAGAATTATGTTTCTCGCAAGATCAGCCTGATATTTTGTTCCGAAAAACATCTAATGTCCTAATCATTGTACTGGATAAAATCAAAAGTAACTTTTTTACCCTCAACTTATTAACGCCCTGTGGCAAAAGTGAGCAATTGAAATCAGTTTCATTATATTTAGTATCGAGTATTTATGATGTGTAATAATATAATAATAATCTTATATGTGAAATAATTCATCTCTTTCATACACAAGTCATCACCCTATGTGAAGGAGACAAAATATGAAATATTTATAAATGTAATTAATATTCAATGACGAAATGTAGATTTTACTTGATTCGATGAATAAATAAATAAATAGATGAATAAATAAGTAAATGAACAAATAAAAAGATAAATGGCTGAATAAATAAATGGATAAATAAATAAATCAATGGATGAAAAATAAATAAATGGATAAATACATTCTGCGAATTTCATTGTTTCAATTTTGAACATTCAATTAGAAATCATGTTTTTGTTATTATAATATGGTTGATTTGTTGGTGTATCGTGTGCAATCTGACGAGAATCTAGTGAAAATATTCCAAGATATTCAATCAATGAAGCATCAAAAAATTGAAGAATTCAATTTCTGCCCGATTTTTCAAAAAAATCTTGAATGATCGAAAATTCGTATGTATAAAAATTTCTTTACCGTCAAGTTCATCTGCGATATTTTGCATGAGAACATCGTAGAAGGTCAAGACTCTCTCTCTTTCTCTCGGATCTCTTCGTCTCGCTAGGATTTTTTCCATTTCGGTTTGGGGCGGTACCATCTCTGCGAATTTTTCACCGAGTCTTTCATCGAACGAACTGGAAATATAATGTAAATAATCACATAACAATAATTCAACTAGACCTCATCATTAAGAGATCTATAGGCTAGGATCAACAGTGGACACATTTGACCCAATTGTCAGCTGGAGTGGGATAGCACTGTTTCAGCTCACCAGGCCTAATCAGCCGCTCTCGGTCTGCTGACATAGGGGACAACTCAACGCTTCGAGTGTATCACCCATTTCAAAGACGTCGGATATACATGCGGATCTAGTCATGTTAACGCCATCTAGTGGCATAATTCTGACGTAGGATTACGCCATACACAGTAGGACGCTGTAATCTATTGTCAACACGTGAAGGTTCCTACGTCTCTGCCAACAGATGGCACTACCTGACTACTTGAGTGGAATGATCCACCAGTCCAAGTCATTGAAGTAGATCTTATAATCAAGATATCAAGGATGAACAGAACATGAACAACTTTGTTAATCCTGGAAATATTTACCTCTCTCCAGCTCCCAGCCACATGGGTTCTTGATCGGTGAGGGACACTCCCACATAGGCGAAGGCTCCCTGATTGTTTGGTAGAGTGCGAGTAGCTATGTAGGTCCTGCCCTTCCTGTCCTGTCCATGATGACCTTCGTCTTTCACCTCGAATTCGGTGTCGTTTAGCCATTCAGGGGGCTGCGAAAAATTCCAACAAGCTCATATTATGAAATTATGGCGAAGTAACATCACTTGAATCTTTAGAAGAAGTGGTGTAGATCATAGATGAAGAAACCCAAAGTCATCTCCACAGCATTTATTTGAATGATCAGAGATCCATCATGCAGTACATGTTTCGGGCTTATATAAGCCCATCATCAGCCGATTACAAGATATAAGTTCTAGAAAAACAAACAATGACTTAGGATATAGATACAATAATAACTTACCCACATCCCAGCGAGCACAAACATCCCTGGGATGTTTTGGGATGTTTTGAAAATGTTGGCATGAAGATGTTATTTTGAGACGTAATATGCACTGACCAAAGAGGTCTTTGAAGGATATTGAAGTATTGTTTTTGTTCTTCTGTGGCATTTCTTTTTTTTGCCTACTGAGAGGTATCCCTGGGATGTTTTGGGATATTTCAGAAATGTAGGTATGAGGATGTTTTTTTGAGGCGTAATATGCACTCCCCAAAGAGGTCTTAGAAGGATATTGAAAGTATTTATTTTGTTCTTCTGTGTCCTTTCTTTGTTTGCCCCACCACAACGTCTCATGCTTACGTCACAATACGATGAATTCTGATTTGTTTTCGATTTTGTTCTTCTTGTTCGCAATTGGCATTCGCGTTTGCAGCATGCCAGCATGTCACGCTTACATCACGCTGCTAACGAACAGAAAGGTATTTGTAATAATGACCATCAGATGCGAGATGTGTTGTTCGGTGCCTCAGTGTAATCAATATATAAAAGTAAGAATTCATCAATACACAGCTTCGCAGTTGCAAAATTATGCATTGTGGAGAACATTTCAAAAATTTCCAATTATATGTCTGTGTGTAGTAAGCACTACTCAGAAACCGATTAAGAAGGTAATTTCATATCAAGAAATTTTTTTTATGTTCAATCGATTTTTAATGCATTTTTTCATTCAAGGGAAATGGAATCCTAATGCAAAAGTTCATTTTGACAAAAGGCTTCAGAAAAGTACCTCGAAAATGGTTTTTTTACAGCGATTTTATGTGCGCAAGACGCGTTGAAAATGTTCTGTTGTGTCCATGAAAAGGCTTTAAAAAGAACTAGGGAGAAGGTAATTTTGTGACATAATATATCAAGGACATCTCGATAATTGCCGCCTGCGGCGGACATTGGCTGTTCTTTAATAGTTCTATTCATGTGTGAACAGAACATCGCAGTGGAGGTTCAATGTCTCGAAATCTCGTACTTTTAACATCTCTGAGATGTTTTTGTGCTCGCTGGGATGGAAATGAGAATAGCAAAATGTTGAAATGTGTATAAAGATTGATAAGTAATAGAAATTCTCGTGGAAGTTCGTGAAGTGTTCCAATGATATGTTATGATAGTGTGGAAAAACCTTAGAAAACATAATAAAACTCGTGTCTAACTCCTTCAATAAGTAAAAATCAATTCATAACCTCCTTTCAGACACCTTGAGTAGAAGTTTAGATTTCATTAGGACATAATGTTGTGTTCTAGAGATGGTAGTGGAAGAAAATATTACTTCAACACTATCGGGCACTGGTCCAAACACCTCGATGGCATTGGAAATATCCACGTCGTATGGGGATTCGTTGAAGGGCTTTTCCAACACGCCATTTTGCATGTTGATCAGTAGATTGGCCAGATAAAGATTGCGGCATCTTTTTGATTGGATACCTTCGCAAGGTTCTCCGCAAAGTTTGTGCAACCATACCTGAAAATGACAAAAATACAGTGGATCAAAATTATATTGGTACTTTTTTTTGTAGGTACATTAATCACGTATATTATTGTTTGTGTTTTGGAGAACACAAATTCCATTATAAAAATGTGAAAAAAATTACTATTTTGGGATTTGGATTGATGATGACTTGAGAAGTGGGAAAAACATATGAAATATCTAATATTTACTGAACAACTGTTATTGGACGCGAATGTCCCAAACTTGATGAAAAAGTTGCAAATATCTTCACATTCGGAAACGATTTCAATAAAATATCTGTATTGAATAGGAAGTCATTGAAAGTACTTCATCATTTGTGAATTGTGAATTAAAAAACGTTCTTACTCGATATTTCTGGTACAATTCTGGATTGACAATGCGTCTTAGGAACGTGTTTGTAAAGTTCAGGTAGAACAAGAAATCCTCATCAAGTTTTGCTTCTAGTTCCATCTTTCACTGAAATTTGTACGGTTGGAGATTCAAATTTTCTTTGACAGTATCATGACATGTTACGTGTTGGTGAAGTGAAGTGTTAGCTTCTGTCAAAAATTGGCAAAACCTTACTACTGGACAGTTGGAACATGAAATGGATTAATTTATTTTTGGATATATGACAAATTAATATTCATCATCAAGAAATTCTGAATTGAAAAAACCTTATCACGAGTCTGCGATTAAAGGTCTATAAAAATAATCCATCGTTTGAACCCCTTGATTGGATGAAAGTATTGAAAAGGAATATTCTCAGAATTCACATTCTTTATGTGATGAAAATATCAATTCAATTCCGGTTTATTCAACAGAAAACAACTATTTACCTGGCTATATGCACGACAAACATTGATTTATATCTATTGAACACACACGATAAGAATTTGAAAACAAAATCTCCTGGAGTTGAGAATCTGCATTCTCCTTCATACATACTTTCTTTTGGAAAAAATAAATAACAGAAAACAATTGACGAATCATCAAATTAAGTGGAGTTCAGTAGCCAGTGCCCCCCCTGTTTTTCATTACCTGAGTCAATGACTTTCCATTTATGTTTTTCGATGAAATAATTTGTTTCAGAGATGATTTGAGAAGTCAAGCCAAGGGCCAATGATTTCCTCATTATATCTAAAACTGATCATTTCATTTCATGCCCTGTATACAGGGTGTTTCAGAGTTGTGGTGACAAAAGCCTATGAGAGATTTATCTCAACAAAATACAGAAAAAAGTTCATATGAACATGTGTCCGAAAATGTTCAGTTTCTGAGATATACCTAGTGTCCAAGTTTGAAAAATATTTCGAAAATATATTTCTCACAAAATTTAAAGATCGCGTATACATTTTAGGGAGGGTATTGAATTTTATGTCTTTAGTTTTTATAATTAATAATGTGCAATACATTTTTGGATAATTTTTAAGCATTTTCATTGTTCATTATGGAGTTCAGAGATATACCGAATATGCAAGAAGAACCCGAAAAAAAAGAAACACAGGGCGACATCGTTTTCTACAAAGAAGGTGACTTGCTCGATGGGTACGCCCCTGGGAATTCTGGATCAAATCTAATAGTGTCCAGTAAATGTCTGATAATCGGGTAAAAAAACCATGAAAATTTCATTCGAATCGGATTGAGCGTTTTCCAGATATTGAGAAAAAATTTTTTTTTTTTAGTTCGGACACCATGTTTCCGAGATAACGAATTATTTTCGGACCCATGTTCATAGAACTTTTTTGCATATTTTGTTGAGAAGAATCTCCCCTAGGCTTTCATCAACACAAATCCAAAATACCCTGTATAAAACAACTGTCTATTTGCATCTGTAAAAAAATCACTATTTAGAAAAAAGTCGAAGTAGAGCCATTTTGAAGACAATATAAATTAGTATTCTATGTCGTTTGAATTTTCCAAATGGCATCCAGAGAGAGAATCAAAATGTAGTGCCTATATACTAAAACTAACAATGTAGACAAAAAATCCAGTTGTTTAAAAATCAACTAGGGATGAGAGGTCACCATAATACATAGTCTATGTTCAGCCGATCGATCACCCGGACACTCTGTATAAGAAAAAACAAATCTGTTGAAGAAATGCATTAACTTCTCATAATTAAACGCTCACTTTATAGAATTATGTCAAGAGCAGCTTACGAATAACGTTCTCAGTGGACTCGAAGGGAACAAGAAGTGCCGTGAAGGGTCAGATTGAGTTACCATTTTAGCTGGAATTTTAGTCGATGGAAAAGTAAAAAAAAATCCTACCGACCGATTTGAACAGAGTTTCCTATGATGGTTTTCATCATTGAATGAAGAATACTATATGGAAACAGGTCAATTCGGTGCACAGAAAGATCAGGTATACTCGAGATCACGTTTGAAATTTTGTCTACTCCCGAATTACCTATACGTGAATTGAATATCTGCTTTCAGTTTCTTCATATTGTTGATGTTCATTATGATAAAGATTTTGATCGATGATGACGCACGTATATACTTCTAATTATGAAATGTTTTTCCGGCCTATACAATATTGAAACACGTACTTGAGTATAATTAAGTGAGGCTATCTTTCTATACAAGGAAACTTTTCGAAATTTCATTAGAAAATATGAAAGAGTATGCAATTTGTAGAAAAAAGTACCAAGTGTTAATACTCGTGAAGATACACTGTTTTCAAGAAAAACAGAATGACCAAATTCAACCCCAAAATTTGATGTAGATGTCCGAGGTTGTCTTAGTCCATTCAAGATATCTGTTCAAGTTACTCTATAACCATGATAGATATCATTCTGTAATTGTGGCACTATCACAGTCACATAACAGACTGAATTTTGCCACCACGATAAGCCATACAGGGTGAACATAAAAAAATCTATAAATATTTTCAACTTCGACACCCTGTATCTCGAAACGATCCGACTTTTGTTCATGGAAACTTTTTTATTTTCCTGAGACGCCCTATCATCTCTCGAAGTGCGTCGCACATCTTTCGAAACACCCTGTATATCTCCCTTTCTTGAGTTGTTTGTCATTTAATTTCAATTGACATTCATACACAACGCCTCAGAAGATGTTGGAATATGTTGAAATATGAATTGTTGTTTCCATTATTTATTGGGCGGCGAAGAAATATTGTATCATATGACAACATCCAGAACATGGGAAAAAACAGTAAAAATTTGATGATTTGGTAGGTGGGTGTTGGAAAATTGAATGTTAAAGGTCACTTATTCCATTTCCGACACTTTGTTTTAAATTTTCAACGTTTTAGCGACACCGAAATGTAAAATAAATGGATAACTTTCATAATAACAATGACAAAGTCGATTGATTTTACTCAGTGGAAAATATTAATGCACGTTCGAGAGCTATAATAACAATATTTTTATTATTCTCATAAGAAACATTCGACCGCACGATGTTTTATTATTTTGAAATGTCATCGTACTGGAAAACATTTCCGAAACATTGTATAGTAATGTCAACATTTCCTTGTATTCATTTCAAATAGCAAAAATTATATAATATTCTATATAAATACGTATCAAGAATATTTCGGTATCACACACAGTGCATAATATAGATACAACAAATTTTTAAATTATGCGTGGTTTTGATTCTGTAGATAATTTATTGGTTATATACAGAGTGTTCCAACTGTATTTAGATAGTTATTTTCTGGAGTTAGAAATCTTATTCCTTATTGGAAATCAACTGCAAATTCAGATCTCCAAACTGCATTTAAATTTTTCCACACTTCTAGATATCTTCGTACGAGTATAAATAATATTCTGGAAAAGTATAGGGATGTAAAGGTGAAGCGTTATTCGGATTACTGTGAATGAATATAGTCAAACACAATAGTTTTTTGTGTAACGAGCACGAAATGATAGTCATTTCCCACGAAAATACGAGTGCAAACTTCATTCTCGTGGGAAATCACTATCATTTCGTGCCCGTTTAACAATATAATGAAAATATTCGGTCACTATATAAGTTTCCATTAAAATTATTTAGTTGCTCCATCTTTCGTATTTTATAGTCAAAATTCAGTTTTATCCTTGATTATATACACTAGTGAATACTCAATGGTTTTATGATAAGGAGATGAAGAATCTTTGAATACAATTTTTTTGTGAAGTCGAAGTGATTCCGAGTTCGTACATACAGAAACGAGTCTGAATTAAAAGAAAAAGTTCTGGCCCAAATGAAAACTACATTATTGGTCCTTCTTCCCTAAGACAAGAATGATAATGGCTCGAGAAATTGTTGGGGTAGAAGTTTAGTGTATCTTTATTAATTCGATATTTCCTGGTCAGTCAATTGTGCAAGGTATTATTTCTTAATCCTGAATGAGTGGGATACCTTAAATTTTTTCCGGACCCCTCGATTTTTATTTTTAAATGTGATGTGATGGGAACAGTATTCCAAGACATGTCGGATCTGTGCCTTATAGATCATAAGCAGCTGACTGGAAGCGAAATAGCTCCTGGCCCGAAACAGAAAACCAAGTTTTTGGGATGCACTTTTAGCAATTGATCTCACGTGATTTTCCCAAGAATAGTAGTAATAGCTGATAGTAATACCAAGCATCGAAATGGATGTCTTCAAAGGTATGGTTACTCCTGACAATCTTATGTTGGTCACAGTCAGAACGGCTTTTCTGGAGAAAAGGCATGCTTGTGCTTTGTTTGCATTGAAATCTACCAAGTTATTATTATTATTATTCGTGGTTTGATTGGCATGACAACAATATAAATGTTACCCACATCAGATCAATCCAATTCTATAGAGAGATTTGCATAACAATTAATTTTTATTTCTCAATATTTCCCAATTTTGACAGTAAATAATGCAATTTGATGGATGATTCTGAACAAACATACTTAATATTGCAACAAATCAGCTCAAACTTTCATATTCCATCTCCGACCAGTGTTATATTCTGCGATAGTATGTCATATCAATGTTTTTCCCGCACTAGTGTGGGAAAATGACAGTTCCCAAACTCAATTGGGTGCGGGTATAGGGTGAATCACGCACGCTTGTAGAAAAATATATTTTTTAGGTATTGATGTGCCATCAAGCCCAGTTGATTTGTACTCCAATCTGTAATATGATCTTCTTCACTCAGTTTTTGTGGAGAAGTTGCGTGCGGGACAAAATCTTTATGTGCAAAGAAATAACAAAGTGTCAAACAATCCGAGACAGAAATGATAAGGGACAACTGCGCCAGAAAGTCGGAGGAAATGATGAATTTTTTATATCAATATTTTGTTGGAAGAGTTCTGTCGATATAGAAGTTGATATTGGATCATTTAAGTGAACATTCAACATTTCCTTCTCTTTGGTCCAATGAAACTTTCAAATTGTCAAATATTTTCGAGAGTCATGATGACAAAAATAAAATCATTGCACCGCCTGTCATTTTGGGAATCATTCAGCCCATCAAAAACCATGAATATTGTTTTGTCAGTTGTATTATGTATTTTTTTATGTTTAATATATCTGAGAATATTCC